TGATGGCCTTGAGAGATCATCATTGAACTGACCAGCCTCAGAATGTTTTTCCTTTCTGGTCATCTAGTTGCTTCTGGATTTGAACACGGCTCCGTATTCCAATAGTTTTCACGGGTGTACCAAGTGATTGTTTTTTTTTTTTTTTTTTTAAGGCTGAACTGGCAAGCCCCAGCTTATATCGGAATGGTTTTATTTTGGTCATCTGGTTGCATCTGGATCCCAACATGGGTCTGTAATGACTCTGTATTTAATATTTATTTATACCAATTTGTCGGTGTACCAGCTGAGCTAGCTCTGTTGGTGCTCTGCAATATCTGATTTGACCCTCTGGGTAAAGCTTTCTCGATATCCGATTTGATGGTCCAGGTAAGCCTTTTTTTTTTTTTTTTCAATACCAATTCATCAGTGTACCAACTGAGCTAGGCCCGTTGGTGCTCTGCAATATCTGCTTAGTGATTAGACTATCTATTAAGATTTTGCGATATCCGATTTGATGGGGTCCCGACAAGCTTTGATGGGGTCCCGACAAGCTTCGATCAACTTGGATCTCCTTCCAATATCTGATTGGACATTCGAGGTAAGCTTTTGTTGCGGTATCCAATTCAACGGTCCAGATTCGACGGTCGAGATAAGCTTTCGATAAGTTTGATCTGCGGTATCTCAAAAAAATTGACAATCCACGCAAGCTCTGTGTGGGATTTGAATGTGCCATGCACAGCTTCGCCGCACCAGTCTCCAAAGTCGGAAAACGACAAAACAAATGGCAGGTGTATCTTTTCCGCCTTCTAGCTAGGTGCAGATACGCTCTCCGACGATTTACACATGGGGGTGGGTAGTATCACGAGGCCCTGTATGATGATTGGGCCTATATAATGTGCGTGGTAATTCAATGATGATGATGATGATGATGATGATGATGAAAAGGATAAAATTTGCATTCAATGCGAGTAGCGCAGCCTCACATTATTGAAAAAACGGCCAACTCAGAAAAACAGATTGAATAGAGAGCACAACAGTTAAAACTCTCTTCCTCCCTCCTCCTCGTCCTGCTCAACCAACTCCCGTGTCCTCCTCCTCCACCTCAACTGACTCCCCTGTCTTTGTCTCGTCAAGGAGAAGCCAACGAGTTGGGTACTTCAGAAATAAAATAATAAAATAAAATAAAATAATAGAACGGGTCCCAATTTGCATCCCAGTATGGATATTGTTGGGACATCGCCTACCGGTAGTGACACTCTCTCGTCCTTTCTGCTTGTCCCCTTTGCACTTCTTCCACCCGTGAAGGTCAAGCACCAGCCAAGTCTGACTCCCACCGTCCACATATAACAAAAGAGAGAACAATCACAGCACTCTCCCCACCTGTTTCCTCATCCCTTTCCGCTTCCTTCGCTCGCGGAGATCAAGTGCCAACCAGATTTTGTCAAAGCTGACGTGCGGAGGACGGAGCAGCACACCCAGAGGCCCTCTAGACCACTTCCCTCATGGAGGTCCCTCAAGCCCCTCCCCTCATAAAGCGTTCTTCCAGATCGTGTTTGGTTTGCTTTTGGATTTGAACACTTGTGATCTGTTCATCAACAGCTACCTGTGTATAGCATTCAGCCACGTGGGCTGGGTTGGGTCTGGGTTATGTCTCTTCTTTTAAATGCGGAAGATGAAGAATGCAGAAGGCAGCGAGGCGAGTCTCCCTCTTATACACCTTTTGTCCGCTGATCTCTGCTGAGTCCAAGCAAAGTATTTGTGTCACGCCATCTCCTACAACTTCTTGACTGTAACACACGTCACCACAAAAAAAAAGAAAAAAAGAAAAAAAGAAAAAAAGAAAAAAAGAAAAAACGAAAAGAAAAAAAGAAAAAAAAAGAAAAGAAACCACAGTCTTAGCATGAAGAACTGGTAGCTCTGCAGCTACCATGCTACGTCTCCGGGCGATGTGCTTCTGCCATAGCTGGGACGTGCTCCGCCATAGCCGGGAGCTTCTCCTGAAACCAGGAAACAAGCGGAGGGAGATTGATGTCTGTATACTGCAGTCGATCGATGGTTTTGAACTTCAGGCCACCTTTTACCTTTTGCAAAATGGAGCCAAGTCCTTCGGGACATCCGTTAAAATTGGAACGATACAGAGAAAGAAGATTAGCATGGCCCCTGCGCAAGGATGACACGAAGAAATCGAGAAATGGTCCAAATTTTTTTTTTGAAAAGAAATAATATTAAAAAAAATGGAGCCAACCCCTGGAGACAGAAGAAAAACCTATTGTCTTCGGATCGTGAATCCGATGGATAGACTGGAACAGCGCAGCGTCCTGGCAGCCAGGTGGTCGTAAACAGTGTTTTATACGACTGTCTTGGGGAGATGGCGGCCCAATTGCTGCAGATAGAAAACAGTGCTGCAGCCGTTAGATCATTATTCATCGAATGGATCAACTGAAAAAGATGTTGTGGCCTCCAGGTAACCAGGCGGTCGTAAAAGGCCACAGTGGTTTAAGGCTGTGGTCCCCCCCAGCTTTGGGTGATAACAGACTTTGCACGGAAGGGCACCAATTGCCAGGATAACAGTCGGCTCTCTCCTTCCGTGTGAGATGCTACAGAGAGAGAGAGAGAGAGAGAGAGAGAGAGAGAGAGAGAGAGAGAGAGAGAGTTCTGAAGATGTGTCTATGGGAAAAAAACTCACACTGGGACTCTTTGGCACAGTCCGGGGGTGTTGGAGATAAGATATGCCCAGGAAAGCCCCAGTGCGAGTATGCCTTAAAGCACCAGCACATGGTCCCAGCCAAGGTGAGAGTCCGGTTGAGCCTCTCCTAAAATTTAGGAGGCTTGCACACCGTTGATAAAATTAATTGACGGCAGGCGGCCTCCGAAAGGGGCCTGCTTCCGATGGCTGGCATGGTAGTGGTGGTTTATTTAGGACATCAAATTGAATCTCTCACTGGTATGACCCAACTGTCTTCTTACATGTGTTGTTGTCATCGTATTCTTCCAGCAATGGTGCTTGTGAATGGGGTTGACATCGTTGTCTGCTGTTCCTTCAATCAATTCACATTGGGGACATGTCTAAGATGGTTCATACCACGGTCTCTTCATAACTCGTTCTAAGATGGTTGCGGGAAGGAAAGGATAGGGGAGTTATGAAGAGACATGTCTAAGAGAATGAGACTCTCGACTCGATTCTCACCACGGTAAGGGGGATGCGTGTTTTGTTGCATGGTGTCGTCGTTGTCTTCCTCGGTTGGAAATGGGCCTTGGATGATGATGTACAGGAATGACGTTGTCTTCTGCGATCCATTCAATCGATTTCAAGGCATTGAAAGCTACAAAAGCATATTTTGGGCATTAAGGTTCCACGGTCGGATCTTCTTCCGGGTCCTTTGGGTGGACGTTGTTAGGATATGGCAGCCATGCGATAAGGTGATAATGGTTAGGTGGACGGTGCGAGGGGTTCCGCGAGTGCCGTGGGAGGCCCAGGGTCACTTCGATGGCAATTCAGAGTACAAACTGGATGAGAATGGGAAGATATACTCGCACAAAGTGGATAACGTCATTATGAGTCCAAAACCAAGACCGCGCACAGTGATCGAACTCATACGGATTGCAGCTCGGGCTTCGAGTCCCACCCCAACGTATTTCTTCAGAAGGGCACGGGAGTTTGCTGCCAGTATTGTACCCTATGTGCAATCCTTCTCGTGGGTCCGATTTTACATCGCCCTGAGAGCGACTTTGGGAGTCAAGGGAGAACTCCCAGAAGCAGAGGCATGAAAGCGTGTACTACCTGCTTTCATCAGTGCTCTAGACCCTGCATGTGGTCCGATTTTGAACATTGTGCATGCGTGTTGCGGTCCAATTTATTAACATTGTGTCTTGTTCTTCTTGACACAACACGTGCATGTGTGCACAGCAGACACGTGCTGATTTGCATGTGCGAGAGAAGGGGGGAGAGCGTCGGGGGGAGAAGAGTAGGGAGAGAGGGAATAGAGAAAAGAGGGAGAGAGAGTCGAATACAAACTTCTCGGGAAACTGGGATAGCTTGCACATACGTGGCTGCAGGGTTGTAAGACC